TCATAGCGGAGCCAGACTTAATATATCTAAAATTCTCTATCTCAACCAAATAATCTGCTTCCTATTTATTCTGGGAAAAAATGGAAGCAAACTTGTTCTGCATACATGACCTTTAACAAGCTGTTCCAGACAGTCAGGTCTTCCTGACAGATTATGATGGATTATGTGTAGAAAATAGATGACTGGTCTTTATAAACAAGGTCCTAAACAAGGATCGCTGTCTTACCTTGACTTTAAATTTTGACCTAACACAAACATTCTGTGGTGGTTTCAACACTGCAAATGCCAGGTGAAACCAAACAGGCAGATAAAACTGGATTACTGTACATGGTGGGACAGGGCCCCTAATCTCAACAAGCAGGCTAGGAAGCCTATATCCCTGAGCATTTCAGGCTAAACAATCATTACTACAGAAGTTGTGGTACTAGATCAACAATATTACCTCCCCTTTGAAGTACCAAATTAATGAATAAATATTTCTATTTCTTTGGAAGGTCTCTCCCCATCTTTCTCGACCTCCAGTTTTCTTTCCCCCAACTGACCAGGAGTACAGAAGCCCAAATACTCCAGTGCTTACAGCAGGCGTAAGGAATGGTAATCCTCCAAAATGGCGATGGAATATAATTCTTATCAGCTCCACCCTGCATGAGAACTTAATTCACCACACCTGCAGACTTTAGGACAGCCTTCCCCAAACTGTTCAAAACTGAGCAGCACAGAAATTGTAGTAATAAATAAATAAATCAACTTGGAGCTCTCCTGAAATTCAAATCCCAGAATTCTTTATCAGCCTTTGGCCAGGAATTCTGGGAGTTGTAGTTTTAACTATCTGGAGATATGTTAAAACATAGGAAGGCTGCCTTAGAGAAAGAAAGCAACTTAAGAATGAGGAGAACATTACTCACACCCCACTTGCAAATGAAATTATTAAATTATCTTTATATATAACAACAGATAAATGAACAAAAATCCTATTCACACAACACATAGTCAAAAGAGCTCACTTTTTTCCAGCATGTTCCTTAACCAGGCTGTTCAAACATGCTTGAACTAATTCTTAACTATTGCTCCAAAGTTCTCAAAACTATTTTGGTCTTGGAAATTTCATTAGGCAGACATGGAAACAGCCATGCATCCCTATTTCCCCCATAACTCACACAGGTATATTAATGCAGTCCAAGGCTGCGAATATCAGTGGAATGACCTTAAGAAGTATAATAGCAAGCAAAGGCCTATCTCGGAAACAGAAAGTAAACACTTCTTAAGATTTCTAAATCTCACCAGACTGCAGTCTTGGACTACCCAACATTGCATTGGGCTTTCTGTACATAAAGCAACACTCTTCCCAGACTTACTCTATGGAGACACTTGTGAAAACTGAAACTTCCTGTCATCTCGCTGGCTGCACACCAGCACTCAATTTAGCCAGCAGTTTCACAAGCCACAATGAACAGTCAGCCTTCCTTTGTGACGTTACTGTAATATGGGGTAAGGGTGGATTGTCCAAAACTTTTTAACAAGTAATCCACGTCTAATGCAAAATCTAATTTCTGCCTAGACCCCATACTGACAGGGGGTGACACATTATGTTTGAATAGTCAGCTAAACCAAGCTATGCTAGAAAAAAGATACACAACAACATCCATTCCATACCCTAGGCCTGTGCTATCCTACTCTTCTCCTAGTCAAAATTTTTCCCCATTGTTGGGGAAGCAGAACAGGCTTCAACTTCTCCGTATCAACAGTATGCATAACTCTATACCTCTTCCTATTTTCCTGTTTCCTTATTATCTCTGTAAGTCTATGGAATTTTTGAGTGGTAACTATAGTTAGCCTTTTAGAATAGCAACCCTCAGTTCCTATTCAGCCAGATTTCTGGAGTGCAACTCCCATCATCTCCGATCAGTGTAGCTATTCTTCAAGAACTATGGGAATTGTAGGCCAAAGCAGCAAACAATATAAAACTCATCCATCCTTGCACACCATACATATTCACTGGCTTCCTAAGAAGGTAATGGCTGTCAGGATCCCCTAAATTTCATCAAGTGGTTCATTCCAATTACCATAGCTCCTTCCTGCTTGGCAGAACCAAATCAGCCAAGAAGCCACCAGCACCCCCGACTTTCCTCCAAGACCAGGCACAGCTGACTGAGAGTAGCTGAAGGGTCCGTTTGCTCACTCTGTTAATTTCTTTTCCTGTCAGTTCCCACCTTTCACTGCTCTCTCCCAACTACTTATCATCCCCTCCTATTAAAACTCCAGAACTGAGTTGAAAGACGCTTCCAACCCATGTTATCCCTAAGTTGTGCAACGAAAGTCCGTCCGTTCGGAA